ACAACAAGTAAAAAGCTGAATGAAACATCATCATATCCTCAACCCACTAGTGAAGTGAGGTTGTAAGACAAACCACAACTTCCAAAGTAGGACAGATAGGTAGAAATAAAACCACAATCTGCAGAAACTCACAGACGGCTCCATAGGAAACACAACTGGAGCAGAGAAATCAGAATTGTTGCATGGCCAGAGGCTCAGGGTGCACTGCAGGTTTAAACCCTAGGAGCACAGGCATACATGATAACCACAGGCAACAAAAAACCCAACCTTTTTGTTGAGTTTTATTCACAATAGCTCTACCATGTCCTCATGGCAAATACTGGGGAAAGTGAATGTAACCGTGATGTCAATAGGAGGAAGGGGAAATAATCTTTTTTATTTTCTTTCCTTTTTAAGTGAAACATCAGAGTGCGCTGTTCTCCTCAACAAGTCCTGCCCACAAGAGAAACTATTAGCAAACATTCAACTCCAGCCTCCTACAGTCATTCTATCTCACCTAAGGTGTGTGAATAAAACCAAGAAGCACTGGTAAGTGTAGCCCAGGGACATGGGTTTACCAAAAGACTGAGAACTAATCACAGGGACAAAGTATTTTACCTCTCTCAAAACTTTAGCACTATACTACTCACTTCAGTTACTTTTTGTTGAAAAAATTAATATTTAAAAGGCAGAATTAGCGAGGGAGAGACACAGTGAGATAGAGAAAGAGATCTCTCATCTGCTAGTTCACTCCCCAGATGGCAGCAGAGGATGGGACTGGACCAGGCCAAAGCCAGAAGCTTCATCCGGGTCTTCCATGTGGGATGCCTGTGTGACAGGAGTCAGCCCAATCCTCTATACTGCAATGTCGGTCTCTGCAATTACGTTATCCAGTATTTCACATCTGTTGTTAAAAAAAAATTACAAGGTATAATAAAGACAAAAAGCAATCTGAAGAGATAAAACAAGCATACATAGAGGGAGAGATGGAAAGAGATCTTTTATTCACTGGTTCACTCCCCAGATGGATGTAATAGCCAACTTGGGTCACACTGAAGTCAGGAACCAGGAGCCAGGAATTTCATCCAGGTGTCTCATTACATGGCAGACACCCACTCTTGGTTGCTTTTCCCAGGAACATTAACAGGAAGCTGGATCGGACCTGGAGTAGCCAGATCTCAAACTGCTAACCATGTGGGATGCTGGTGTCACAGTCAATGAATTTACCCGATATGCTAAAACACAATCCCAAGAGACAGAAAGTCTAACAAAGAATTAAAAGGAAATGTTAGTGATTTTAACAGGCATGAAGAAAACCACTGATGGTCTCATTAGTATACTGAATATGAATGGGAAAAGACATCTCTGAGCTTGATAATATGAATCCTAGAAAACTCTAGAGTTGAAAACCAATGGAAAAAGACTGGGAGGAAAAAAACAGAATATTTAAGAACTAAGGACAATTGCAAAAGATGTAACACAAACATGATAGAAATATAAAAAGGAGAAGAGAAAAAAGAACAGAAGAATTATTTGAAGAAATGATAAATCAAATTTTCCAAATTAACATCAGATACCAGGTCACAGATCCAAGAACCTCAGAAAACACAAAGCAAGTTAAATTCTAAAAGAAATGACAGGTAGGAATGTCATATTCCAAGTACAGAAAATCAAAGATTAAAGCAAAAATCTTGAAAGAAGCCACAGGAAAACAATACCTTACCAAAGAAGACTCACAGACAAGAATACATGTAACTTTTCAGAAACCACATAAGCAAGACGATAGTGATGTTGGGGATGAACTAACCTGGAATCCTATATCCTATAAAAGTATCCTTTAATAGTGCAATAGCCTAGTGACTAAAGTCTTTGCCTTATATATGCTGGGATCCTATGGACACTGGTCATATCCTGACTGCTCCACTTCTCATCAAGCTCCCTGCTTGTGGCCTGGGAAAGCAGTAGAGGATGGCCCAAGGTCCTGGAACCCTGCACCCACATGGGAGACTCAGAGAGGCTCCTGGCTCTGGAACAGGTCAGCTCCAGCCATTGTAGCCACTGGGGGAGTGGATCAGCAGATGGAAGATCTTTCTCTCTGTATCTCCTTCTTTCTGTAATCTGACTTTCTGGTAAAAATAAATTAATTAACTACAAAAAAAAAAAAATGAAGGAGAGGGATGAGCATTGTCCTATGGGGGTAAAGTTGCTGCCTGTAATGTCAGCATCTCATATGGGAGATGGTTCATGTCCTCGCTGCTCCCTTTCTGATTGAGCAGTCTGCTAATGGCCGGGGGAAAGCAGCTGAAGATGGCCCAAAGGCTAGTCCCTGCCACATTTGTGGTAGATCCAAATGAAACTCCTGGCTCCTGCCTTCAGCCTGGTTCAGTCCTGGCTGTTGCAGCCACTTAGGGAGTAAACCAGAGGAAGGAAGATCTCTCTCTCTGTGTAACTAGTCCAAATACAAAAATCTCTCTCTCAAAATAAAACAAAGCGAAGGAGAAGGACTAGATTATGAGATATAACAAGTCAAGCCGCCATCTGCAATGCCAGCATTCCATATGGGCTCCAGTTTAAGCCCCAGCTGCTCTGCTTCTGATATACTTCCCAGCTAAAGCACCTGGGAAAGCAGTGGAAGGTGGCCTAATCTATGGGTCCCTGAATCTATGTGGAAGACCTGGATGAAGCTGGCTTTGACCTGGCTAGCTCCAGCTGTTGTGGACATTTCGGAGTGAACCAGCAGACAAAAGATCTCTGCCTGCCTCCCTGCCCTGCTGACTCTGTGTGTAATCCTGTTTTTCTTCTTTTTTTTAAGACCTATTTTTCCCCCCCAAAGTGAAGGAGAAATGGGGCTGGCATGATGGCTCACCTGGCTAATCCCCCCCACCTCCAAGCATGGCATCCCATAAAGATGCCAGTTTCTGCCCTGGCTGCTCCATTTTCAATCCAGCTCTGTGTTTACAGCCTAGGAAAGCAGTAGAGAATGGCCCAAAGCCTTGGGCCCCTGCAGCTGTGTGGGAAACCCAGAAGAAGCACCTGGATCCTGGCTTCAGATAAGCTGAAATTCATAGCATAAACATAGCAGGATGCATATTATTCAGTAGAATTACAAGTTAAAAGTAAAGTTGAAGAGTGTTGGGATATTCCCTGGATGTAAACTTCGGGATGTTTGAGGGTGCTTCCAAAAGCTTGTAGAAAATGGGATGAATGGATAAATAAGTTACAGCACAAAGAAATTTTGAATTCATGCAGTTTGATCTCATAATACACATTTCATGAAAATGTTGTAGACCCCTTATGTGTATGAATTAAAATTTTTTGCATTTGGGACATGAACCAGCACCCACATGGAATCCCAGTGCACCAAGGCAAGGACTCTAGCCACTAGGCTACCACGCCAGGTCCCTGAGGTACCCTTCTAATAGACTGGTGATCTATACTCTGATTAGTTTGATTTCAGGCAAATCATCAGTGCTGCCTTTCTTAATTGCTCAGCAGACACAATTTGTAGCCACGGATTGGGTTTTTGCATCCATTCCCTGCCCCTTGATTTGCTGAGAGATGTAAGGCAACCATTTTGGAGAAATTCAGCATTACATTACATATACTAACTTAAAGATAAAGCCCACTGGCCTAGGCTGGCTGAAAAACCCAGATGTTGTTCTCAATCAAAGCCTCTTGAGTAGGAAATACTTAGTCCCAATTTCCAACTGCTAGGACTCTACATAGAGAGATAACCATCCTAGAGAGGGACAGCCAGTCATAATACTTACCCATACTCACATTACAGTTGTGAAACTAAATACAAGGTCTAGACATGCTAAATTTATTTCGATATAACAACAACAAAAAGGCCACATCTGAAGTGTGCTGTGTTCTTTGTAAGTTCTAGGATGGTTTATGCTATTTCAGTTAATTCCAAGACTCCTGTGCTCTTGACTGTAAGAGCAGTATTGAGGTGTTCACTGGTTCTTGTTAAAGGACCACAAATACAGAGTAGCTTGCCTCCAAGCTCAGAAAATCTAAGTGCAAGAGGAACTCTTTCCCCAGGGCAAAGGTCAGTTTCAGAATCGGGAGTCTCAATGCTTTCCAGTGCCTGCACATGTTCTGTGACTGTCCCTCAGTAAACTGTGAGTGAAGACAAAGAGCAACCGACCTTTGCCTGAGTTAGCCTGACGCTGACCTTGTCTCACTGCTTTGATATTCACATGGTCCAGGCTTAGGACAATAGTAGACACAGCTTACCAAATCCAGGCAGCAAGCTGGGAACAGCTTTTTAGGCTCCTAAGCCTGACCCATTTCCATTAACCCTAGGTTTAGAACTTCCATTGGAAACAATGTAGCAATGAACAGCTTAGCAGTACAGCAATCCCTCCAACAAATCTGAAGCCTGGTCTGGCTCCTCTGGGATATAAGAATACACATTTAAGCCAAAACACAAGGCTAACTCAAACTCACTCCCCTGGCAGGCAGAGGCTCCCTATTCAATGCAGTCCCCATCAATGTTTACATACTCCTCACCCAGAGGCAAGTCAATCTGTCCATATCCTGGAGGAGTCCACACACAGCAGTATGAATTCATGAAGTTACTTGCTTTAACTCCAGTATGTGAGGTCATAGGCAGTGAGAAATAAATATTGTTGCTTTTGTTGTCTTGTAAACTAACAAGGGGAAAGTTAACAGGAGTCCCATGGGAGAGCTGGTTAATGGATCCCTAACCATAAAACCCAAAAAGGCAAGAGTCTTACCAACCTAGAACAAACCAGAACAGAGGGTGTGGACTCAGGGTAAAAATCAGGCCCCATGGTACATATAACTTCAAAATAAACAAGTAAGATACAACTTAAGACAAAAGCAGACTGAACACATTCTGCAGAAACCAAACCCGTGAGCTCTGAATACTGCAGTGAGCCAAGTGCATTGACAACGCAATGTAATGAACTGCACCAAGTGAGAAGTAGGACAGAAATCTGGCAGCTGTGGCCAGGCTTCTGTTCAACCTTTCTGAACCTTCAAGCACTCACCTGTGTGGCCGTGAAGTGGTGAGTGTGGCCGGGGTAGTGTAGGTGATGTGCTAGAGGTCACAATTAAGCTCTTGCGGTTACTTGTCCGACAACTGTAATAAAAAGAGAATGTGAATTAATACAGCACCATACCATAGGCCTGGACACTTTAAGAGACCTTTGAGAAGCCGTAGGATAACATTATTCATTGTGAGTAGTACACTGTATGTACATATTAGGTGCCATGGCTAACTGGATCTGATCTCAGAGTAGATTCTGTCACTGCCTTGACTGCACTCTTCCACTGTTTAGTTCTGCTTTCCACACAAATGCAAGCATACAGTGAAGATGACTACTGCAAATTTAATTTAGAAAATAAAAACACGGGCCTGGCATGATAGTATAGTGGTTAAGGTCCTTCCCTTGCACGCCCTGGGATCCCATATGGGTGCCGGTTCTAATCCTGGCAGTCCCACTTCCCATCCAGCTCCCTGCTTGTGGCCTGGGAAAGCAGTCGAGGACGGCCCAAAGCCTTGGGACCCTGCACCCGTGTGGGAGACCCAGAAGAGCTTCTGGCTCCTGGCTTCGGATTGGCTCAGCTCCAGCCGTTGCGGCCGCTTGCAGAGTGAGCCATCGGTTGGAAGATCTTCCTCTCTGTCTCTCCTCCTCTCTGTATATCTTCCTTTCCAATAAAAATAAATAAATCTTTCTTAAAAAAACACAAAATATTCTTTTTCTCATAGAATTTTACATTCTCTCTATAAAAATGAAACTATGAACAGTCTATAAAATTATTCTTTAAAGAACTTCTTAATCAATGACTTCATGTCGCGCCCACGTGTCTTATTGTCCCGCAATAAGACTCAGACGCGAGTGAAGTCTTCTGCGGTAAAGTTTATTGCGCGCACAAAGATGAGGAAGAGGAAGGGGGCGACCCCGGCAGGCTTTCTGCTCTTATGTGCTGACTGGCCCCGCCTCCGCCAATGATAGGTCGGCGTCATGATCACGCAGGGTCCTGGGCGACTGGATTCGTCAGTCCCCAGTGTTCACGTGCCGGCCACGCCGCAGCTCACTGCACATGCGCTAGGCGCCTGCTCAGTACCGCGAAGGCTACGTGACTTCCACCACGCACGAAGGTGTGGCTTCTCCGGCCGGCGCCATTTTAGGCACAGCATGTAGCCAGTGCATACAGATGCGGCTTGCAACAACTTCAGTACTGCTCTTATTTTACCATAAATTACAGAACAAGACCTTTTATAAAAATGGCTTTGTATTACATGCTAATGCTTGAGGCTTTTTCTTGTGGTTGGACAAAAACCAGATCATAGTGAAAAAACTTCATATAACTATCACTAAAAAGTATGTACAAATTTATTTGCAAATCAGTCTCTTTGGAAGACATTAGGGAAGTTTGGCATCTATAATTATACAAATATTTATTTAACACATACTATGCACTAGGCATAATTATAGGTAACAGGGAAACACGGAACCAAATGAAGTCTCTGTCTTTACAACTGGAGTGAATGAACAGTGCTGAGAAAAGGAACAGGCAGGGTGGGGGTTGGAGGGCCGGGGAGTAGAATGGCATGGGAGCAGAAGCAGTGGTAGCAAGAGAACCTGACTAACCACTGATAGTAATGATACAAAGGGCCCAGAAACAGCAGATCTAAGAGGCAGAGGGAAAACTCAAGGTAAAAGCACTGAAATAAGAACACAATTGATACAGTCAACAGTGGGTGGCTGCTGGAAAGGAGCCAGACAGGAGATGCAGCATACAAGAGCTACAAAGAACACTACAGCCAAACCCTGCAGGGCTTGCACACCATGACAAGGAAGCAATGAAAATATGGTGAGAAACTGTTGGAAGCACTAAGACAAGTTCAACACACTTGTCTTATGTAAGACAACACACAGCTTATGTAAGAGCTTTCTGAAAAGCCTGACCTCACCCTAACTACATCAGTCACTGTCAAAATTCCAGGCCTCTGAGCCTGTGTTATATATATATATATATTTTATTTTTTTTAAAAAAAGACAAAACAATATCCACGTATTTAAAAAGCGGGGGTGCAGGGGGAAGCAGAGAAATAGACATGTATCATTTGCTGATTCACTCCCCAAATGACAACAATTCAGCCTGGACCAGGCTGAAGCCAAGAGCCAGGAACTGATCCAGATCTACCATGTGGATAGCCAGGTTCAGACTCTTGGGCCAGCAGCCACTCCTCCTCCAGATGGATTAGCAGGAAGCTGGATCGTAAGTGGGACTTCAACAGGCACCACAGTAAGCAAAGCCAGCATTTCCAACTGGCATACTGGGAGCACCATAACGCTGGCCCCAGTCTCCCATCCTTGACATAGCCTCCCACCACTTTTTAAATTACATTATGCTTCCTTGAACTCAATCTGTCATTAGCAAATTGTATATATTCTTGATTTTTTTTCTCTCAATGTTTACCTTAAACACTAAGTGAAACTTTACTGTCTTCCAAGACTATCAGAGTCCTGGGAAAATTCTAACCCTTCGAAACTCAATTTCCTACCTTTTAAAATTGAACCCTGAAACCAAGGGTAGCCACCAAGGGTGGCTGGTGTCCCTGCATATTGACGGGTCTTCTTTTTTTTTTTTTTAATAAAATTTTATTTTGACATTCTTTACATAGTTAATTAGGGTAAGAAGGTTCAAGGGCTATAGGAAAGTGGATAATACTAGTATGTTTTCCATATTGTTACCTTCATGTTTAAAAGGGGGGTATTAAGGGAGAAGGCCCACTCAATTTCCCACCCTCCCCAGGTCCCGGATGTAGGGCATGCTCTGAGGTTCTTGCTCAAGTGGTTTTGATATTGCAACCATTATGAATTGCTGTCAGTCTTGCCACTCCAAGCACTCTGAGGTCTTTGAAAAATCCACTGATTGACATAGTCCATCATAGCTGAGATGGTTGGTTGTTGCCAGCCATATCTGTATGTACTGGCTACATGCCGTACCCAAAATGGCGCCGGCCAGAGAAGCCACATCTTGGTGTTTGGTGCAGAGTCACGTAGCCTTCGCAGTACTGCGCAGGCGCCTAGCGCATGCGCAGTGAGCTGCGGCGCGGCAGGCACGTAAACACTGGGACTGACAAATCCAGTCGCCCAGAACCCTGCGTGATCATGACGCCGACCTATCATTGGCGGAGGCGGGGCCAGACAGCACATAAGAGTAGAAAGCCTGCCGGGATCCGAGCCTCTTTCCGCTTCATGTTGGTGTGCACAATAAATTTTACCGCAGGAGGCTTCACTCGCGTCTGCGTCTTATTGCTGGGCAGTAAGACACGTGGGCGCGACAGTTGGTTGATCTGTTCTGTCTTCTCTCTTTTCTTCGTTAGGGTTCTGAGTCCAGCATTTAGATTAGGAAGATCTCCAAAGAAACTTTTTGTATGTGCTACCAAGTACAGGGCCTGGCACCGTCCATCACTCCAGTCAGCTGGCGGTTGCAATTGCTGGGTTGGTTCTGTTTTCACTCCCAACTTCTACTGGAACCAATGGGTGTTGCAGTCCAGCCTGGTTCTGCCCAGCACATACTTGGCCCTCACATAAACCAGTGGGAGCTGCAGCCTAGTTGGAGCGACCCACAATAACCCCCACCAGGCCCACCCCTACCTGGTTTGCCAGTAAGTGTTAGCAGTAACCATCGTCCCACACCCCATTACCACCCAGCCCATATCTTAGTTATTAATACCTCCTGTACATTGTAACCCAAGAGGGATGAGCCCACTATTCCCCATGCCACCCCACCCATCATCTCATATCCATTGCGCCCCAACCAACCCACGCCCAAATTAATTTTTTAGCCCCATTAGTAATAAACCGCCTCCATCTCAAAACATCTCTATACCCCATCTGTCACCCTTATATTACATCCCATCACTACATTACATCCCCACCCCTTCCCATACACTCCAGCTTCCATACTTTACCATGCAATTCCCCACCCAAAGACCCTCACTCATCCCCAACCAAACATAACCCATTATTAATTTTCTCGTTACCCCACCTTAAACCTCACCCCCCACTTCCAACCAAAATATCACACTACAAATAATCTCCCACCCCTTACCCCCCACATTATCCATTCAAATCCTATTCATAATATTCCTCAACCTCCATTGACAATCCCCCCCTCATCCCAATACATCCCTATTTACTCAAACCCATTCCAAAATTTCATAAACCACACATAACAATCTCATACCCATCCTTTACATATACCATCCCTCTTCTAATCCCTTCACCACCACCTCCCCACACCCCCATCCCTTAAACCCTAACCCTATTTACCCATCTCCCCCCACACCTACCCCACCATACCACTCCTTCCATATTCAAAACCATCCATTCCAACCCCCCCACATTAACAATCATAATTCATAACCCCCCCTCCCATTAAATACCCCACCCCCTACATTCACCCCATTCACCTCCGATCATGGTCTGGCTTACCTGACAGGATCTATGTCCCTCCATGAGGGAGTTGCCAGGCTCCTCATCAAACCTTCTCCCAATGCCAGTTCACGCTTACCAGTGGGTCCATGACCATCCCAACTCATCCCACCTCCTTCATAGCATGAATGTGGCTGTGTTCTGATGGCCTTCGACCCAATCGTTTCTTGCTGTTGATTACCAGCCCCCATGTTTGTCCATAAAGCCCACCTATGCTCACACAGCTCATAGGGATGATACTTGCTAGTCCATCCCACATCTTCCCTGGTCCCCAAGAAGCCAGGGGATCGGGTCCAGCCCGGTTCGTTTCAATCCATCTCAGTCCACCCTTGTGCCAAGGGAGACTACACTGTTTTCCATACCCAGATACCAGCCCCCCTTCCAGGCCACGCGCCTCTTGGTGGGAAACTCAGCCCAGCTAGGGTTGTCCCCTTGGCTCCCCAACGAGGTCTGTTCCCAGCCATAGATCACTTGCCTGCCAATGGATGCTCTGACTCAGCTTGGCACAGCCCCTCCCCTGTCCCGAACGCTGCCTTAGACACTGTGGCTTAGCGTCCCTGGCTCATGCAGACCAGTAGGTACAAGAGCCTAGCTCGGCATGACCTCTGCTCCCTCCTGGTCTCTAGTT